GGATGAGTGGGGGATGGAGATGGGGATGATGGGGGGATGGGATGGTGATGGAGATGGGGGCATGATGATGGTCATTACAAGGGGGGGGGGATGTAGCAGAGGGACAAGTCTACGGACAAGCGGCATAGACATCATCCCAGCGTCCCTCGGTGGCGGCGGCAACTACAGCCTTGACCGACTCGCGGCCGTCGATGCCCCGGAACTTGGCCTGGTCGATGTAGAGGTCGGTGAGGACGCCGAGGAGAAAATCTGCGGTCGAAGCCTGGTCCTTCCACTCTGTGCGGAGAGCGTCGGCATTTGCGGCAGTGGCGGCGAGCTCGGGCTCAAGCTTGGGGTCGGGCGCCTCGGCCAGCTCCTTGAGGCCCTCGAGCATGGCGATCTTGTGCGAGAGGGCGAGGACATGCTCGAGGCGCGGGCGGATGATGTTGAGGACGTGCGAGACGGCCGAGGCACCCATCTCCACCTGCATCGAGAGCTGAAGCGAGCGGGTGTTGGCCTCGCGGGCGATAACCTCCCTGAGGATGGAGATGGTCGACGGCGACTCTGAGGTGAAGCGGGCCCAGGTCGAGGGTCGCGGGCCCATTTCGACCACTAGCGCCGTCCCGAGGTAGACCGACTTGAAGTAGTACGTGAGCGAGCCGTCAGCGACCGAGCCCATCCGGTCGGGCATGTTGGGGAGGGCGAGCGAGACCCAGGCAAAGAGCTGCGAGAGCGCCACGTCGCCAGAGAGCGCCAGCGACGAGGCAATGGTCGGGTCTAGCGGGACCGGAAGCGAGGGGACGCGGGCGTGGAGCGAGAGCGGCTTGATGGGAAGGCGAGTGAGGATGGCGGACTTGACCTCGGAGGCCATGACGGCGTAGACCTTGAGAGTGCCGGACTGACCCTCGATGGAGCGGACAAGAGCAGAGAGCCGCCGCTCGGTGTGCTTGAGGTCAAAGGTGACGAGAACTTTGGCGGCGCCACCTGGCGGCGGCGAGGTGCGGGAGATGACCGGCGCCGGCGCACCGGACCGACCGGGCAGAGCCAGGTGCGAGATCTCGAGCGGAACGTCGGACTGGATAAGGACCGAGTCGAGGATGGCTGCCGACTCGACAGTGAGCACGTACGCAGCGTGTGAGGTGTCGAGTTGCAGTGAGGTGTTGACCGACGAGAGAGCGGGGCGGACGACTGGCAGCTCGGTGCCGGCCATCTTGACGTACTTAATGTGGGCCTCGCGGGCGCGGAAGCGCAGCGCCACCAGCTCCTTCTCCAGCCCATCGATGAGCTTGGCCTTGTGCGCCGCCGAGAGCGAGCCCGAGACAACCGACGGCTCGACGGCAGCAAAGCTGGTGGAACCGAGCGCCGTCGGCGTCGACGGCCGGCCCGGCCCCGACTGCGCAAGCAGCCTCAAGCCGGGCGCCGCCGCGGCAGGCGTCAGCGACATGATCTTGCCCGAAAACGTGGCCGCCACAATGGTCGGCACAAACTCTTCCGTGTCGACCACTCCGCCGACAACGGCAGAGACCGACTCGTCAAGGACAGTGCCGAGAACTCGCGTCGGCGGCGTGTTGGGCGCCGCCGCCAGCATGGTGTACACCACAATGTGCCCGTCGGCCGAGCCGACCACAAGCTGCCGCGAGCCGGGCACGTTGAGCAGGTCGTACGAGGAGAGCGACCGTGCTGCAGACGCCGGCGCCCCGGTCTCCTCGCCCGGCGCCACCACCCACGCCAGCGTCATGCTCTCTGGGGCCAGATCGACGGCGCACAGCGTGCCGTCGGTGCACCCAACCAGGAGCCGCGAGTCGAGCGCGCCGGGCCGTGGCGGTGACGCCGCAATTAGCGCGCATGGCACTGCAGGGAGGGCGAGGCGGGCAGAAGAAACAAGCGTCGGCTTGCCAGGGGCGGGCGTTGGAAGAGCAGCAGCGAGGCATCGGCACAGCCCGCGATGGCGTGCATGCCCGAAGCGAGGACGGCACCAGCGACGGCCAGCAGTGACTCTGACGAGTCGTAAGTGGCCGAGCCAGCATCAGCGGTAAACCAGGAGAGGGTATGCTCCGAGACTGTGAGCATGACATTGTCCTCGACAAAGAGAGCATCAACAGGCTCGGTCAGATTGGTCTCCAGCTCAAAGAACGGCTTGCCCTTGCGCGAGAGACCGATGACCTTTGAGCCCGTTGCGGCAAAGATCTTATCACCAGCACCACGCTTGCCACCACGAACGAGGACACGAAAGGAAGCATCTGGAAGGTTTGCCTTGAACACCATATCGATGCCCTTGGCCGTCACACGAAAGGCCGCCACTTCGCCACCTCCATCACCAGCTACCACCTTTGATGCAGACTTCTTGGACGGAGGAAGGAGGACGAGGCTGTTAGCTTGAAGCGGGCCGGTGGTATGGAGAATACGCGGGACGAGTACTTGTTCACCACCCTTGCTCTGCGTTTGCGGTCCTGCTACAGACATGGTGGAGGTGTGTGTATGTATATGTGTGTATGTGTGTGTATGTGTGTGTCTTTGTGGGGGTGGTGGGGTGGGCGTTGGGTGCTTCGACCGCGGCTCAGGCTGACAGCGGTCTGGTCGGTGGGGTGGACAATGGATGGGATCGGGGAAGGAGGGGATGGGGGGAGGGGGGGGGGAGTGCGGGTGTAGCGGCAACTGGTGCGGCAGCTGCAGCGATTGCAGCTGTGCTAACAGCGGCGGCTCTATCCGAGCGACTGTGTGCGGGGGAACAGGGATTTCGTTGGGTTTAAGCCTTGGCAGCCTTGAGGGCAATGTGCCGGGCGTGGGCAACCTTCCGGCGCGCCTTGCGGAGCTTGAAGCGATCAAAGTCGTTGAGCTTGGCGCGGGCAGCGCGGACAGCGCGGCGCTTGGCCCAGGACGACGCGTCCCACTTGGCCTGAGCGTCAGCCTTCTCCCACTTCTTGGTGAGCGACTTGACGTTCATGCCCGGCGTGACACCCGGCAGGACAATGTCGGTGAGCGCAATGCGCTTGAAGGAGATCGCCTGGCGCTCGACACCGTTGACGGTCGACGGGCCATCGATGAGGGCCTTGTTCTGGTCAATGATGTTGACAATGACGGCAAGCTTGCCCTCGAGGGGGCCGTATGTGATGAGCACCACGCGGCCGAGCTCCACAAAGCGAGTGAACACCTACAAACAGAGAGACCATACAATACGCAGTGAGTAAAGGGGTGAGGGGTGAGAGGGAGGAGGGTGTCTGACTGCGGGTGGATGGCCTCCTCTGTCCGCTGTCCGACTGCTCGAGCCACAAGGCGAGGGGGGGGGGGACCAGACAGGCCAAACAGGAGGGACTACATGGACAACACATGAACAAAGACAATCGTTGCGCGTGTGTGTGTGGAGGAGTCCGGAAGGG